TATTATTATTTGTATTATTAAAATTAGTCTGAATATTTAAGCCTAACAAGTTTAAGATATACATTTGTTAAAGCATTACTTTATAAGTAGTACATAAAATCTTATGTGAAAAAAACTTAATCTTCTTATATTAAGATAAAATTATTAGAGCTGACAGTTTAGATAAACATTCTTTAGATATTCCACAAAGTGTTTTGCACAGCTTGTTTGTATTTTATATAAAACAGAGTAACAAAAAGCTGTAGACAGGACAACTTACACTCCAGAAAAGTTTCCGAAAATGATGTCAGTGTTTCCAGAGCTGCTGCTTCCAAACAGATTTCCGTTGAGCAAGATTGGGAGTAAGATCAATAAAAACAGGAGTGGCAGAACTTAAAATAGAACGAAATATGCTATAAATAGAACGGTAGAACGATACATGCTATAAATAGAGAAGTAGGGCCTTACATGGCTAAAAATAGAACGATAATGCTATAAACAAAAGTATAAGTTACTGAAATAAGGAGAGAGTATCTACTATGCTTTCTCAAAAGTTCTAATTTCATCGTAGAGTGTTGTTAAGCCAAAAGATTATGATTAAAAAGTATACGTGTGTGATAAAAAAATGCTTAAGAAAAAGAACATAAATGACAAAGAATCACTCGGCAAGCTTTCCGTAACGTATGCAAGACCATGAAGGGACGAGTTATTAATATTTCATTTGTACCCGTAACAGTTGCATTGTGTTTATATAAAAGATATAACGATGTGTTATACGATCAAATGTTATTTTTTAAATAATAAGTTATATACTACTTACTTGATGAGAGACCACCAGCTTGTCCCTGGGAAACATATCCGGACTGTCCGTAGAACTGAGCTGTAACAACACCGAGCACACAGGCAATAGCAAGAGCAGCAACAATGGCGACCTTCATTTTTCTGGATTTCTGAAAATAATCAATTAAGACATATATTTGATAAACATGTATATTACCATGTGAAAAAGCCGGAAATCAGGAAACAAAAGAACTAGTGTTTGAAATTATTTTTGTCCAATACGATTGCAGTGTTTTTCAAATAAATCGTAACACATTTACTTTGGTAAATCGGCTAATGTTTATGAATCTCGAAACGGCTGTTTAAATATTTTCCAAAAAAAAATCAAACACTTGATTAGTAAGCATCTACAAAATTTAATTGGTCGAGCGACTACAATTGCTCTTGACGTATTCAATTTTGTAAATGCTTATTATTGAAAACTAACCAATAAGTAGATAAAATTAAACTCTACTTCTTCTTTTTTCTAAATTAATTTAAATTCAATAAGAAGAAAAGTATCTGTTTGCCAAAGAAAACTTAACATCAGTTCTTTATAAAATCGAATGTTTACAGATGTTGAAAAGCTTAAAATTTAAGTCGTGTTTCGCATTTAAAATTGTACTTAGACACATGTTAGTATAAATTCCGTGTTTTTCAACATTTTGTATACTATTTAATCCAAACACTTACTTTGTTATGACTTTCTGAAGTTAGAAGTGACGATAACAAATTCTGTTTTGTATTTATACCCACCCGGATGTCAGTAACACTTTCCCAGCAGACATCGCTGCAGGCAATCCGGAACAAAATGTCCGATGTCCGATGTAATAGGTTGCGTAGTTTGCGAAATATTAACGGTAGACTGGCTATGTAACAATTTCTTTCTTACATACACGAATATCAAATTCAACTGAAGGTGAACGTTTAATTAAACATAATTAAGGAAAACGACTGCAACTGATGAAGTTTTAATATTTTAAGAAATGTCGAGTTATTTTCATGTCTCTAAACCTTTTTTTAGAAAATCGCTAGCCAAAGTTTTCAGTCTTTTTTATATATAAAATATGTTTTTATAGTTTTTAATTCAAAGGGGTCTTATTTATACACGTGCTTGGTTTCCTTTTTTTCTACTTTAAATTAACTCACATTTATTTCTTTATTGCCCTTAGATATAATAGTTATATTTTTGACTGTAACAAAGATTTTCACAGTTCGTTTATCATGTAATACGTACACCTCCAGTCTTGTAGCCAGTCTATGCCTTTAAATTTTTAAAATGTAGAAAACCTATTTTAATTATCTGTCAATTAAATATAACTGATGACAGCTTATGTGTTACAATGTTGTCTGCATTGAAATTTAACAACACAGTTGGCAATGAATTTTATTTATTTTATGAAATATGAAAACTTCCCTTAACATCACATGGTATTTGTTTTCTTCGCAAAACATTGGACAACAACGAAACAACAATATATATATAATCATGAAAACTAGAATTGATAATTTATCTAAAACTAAATGCCGTAAAGCCTGTCCTATATAGGGGTAAAATTTGCAAGTTCAGAATTTGAAAATAAGCTTAATATGTTATAAATCAAAATAATCTACCTAATAATTGAAACGAAATTCGTTTACGGAAAATTAAAGCTACACCATGTTTTGATAACTATTGTTCAATAAGCGTAAGCGATATACAAGTTTGCTACTTTAAACATGAACTAAGATAATTCATGCATCGATTTTAGATCAATGATTTATTAAATATACTGTGTACAGAAAATATCAAAAGAGAACATATACATGTTACTGAGTTTGAAAGTGTATCAGCTTATAAAACATTACTAGTATAGTAAAGACATGTCTGGAATAAGGGAGTTCCCCTTCGGAAAAAATCAGTTTAAAAGTGAAAATTAAAGACTCATATCATAGAGGTAAGCAGATGCGGCTCAGTGAGGTGCAAGCGTACAACGGCTGTAACACCAACACTGTGCACTGAGTGGTGACGTGACCGAGTGGTTAACGCGTCGGACTAGTAATCTAAGGATTGCTGACCGCGTGAGTTCAAACCCTGTCAGGGGCAAGCCGTTGTTTCCTTAAGCAGGCATTTTACATTCATTGCTTAGTACTGGTTGGTTCCAGAAACGGATTCGAGAGTGTTTCAATAAGCTTACAGCTTCCAACACAATCGAACTAAGATAAATTTGTATAAACTAACTGTGTCCTGCATACCTTGAGATGGACCGAATAAAATACTACATGTACATATTTAGATCGGATTGAATTTAAAGGCCAGACTATCGCATTGATTTTCCCATATACCTAAATAATGAGGAACGGTCCCTAATCCTACCTGAAAATAAATAATTGTCCATAAGAGGTGATTCCTCTATGAATATGAAAGGCCTAACACACAGAAATGACAATGTTACATTGGACTAGCTAACAATTAAAAAAAATACTTCAAAGAGAATTACCAAAATTTATTCAAATTTTCTGCTGATCACTGACATACATTTTAAACGCAAATACAAGTGACAAATTATCCTAGAGACTTATTATCATTAGAATTATTTTCATTTTTTAAGAAAACAATGTAATGTTAGTTTCTAAATAAGTTTTCATACTTAAAAACATCACATTTTCATCTTTAATATCAGCTGATGTCCCATGGTTTCCCCTGCATTTTTTCCAGTCGCTTGTCACGTTACAATAAGATAGACATGTTCCGACTTTACACAGGTGTAAATATATTATGTTTTAAACATTACAAAATACAGGAGGGTATAATATGAATATTTAGTGTCATTAAAAAATAAACTGGAAGTTTTTCAAAGAAAGGACCAACTTTACCTGACCTGTGATAGGGAATTCAACATCCAATACATAGTTTTACATTCTTTTTTTCAAATTAGGCATGTTTAGTAAGAATTTTATAGATTTCAATAAATTTCTCCGATAAAATTATTGTACTTAAGGATGAGCATAGTAAATCTTTATAGAGGAAGCGTTACGACAAGGAATCTTCAAATTTATGTCATTGGAACGCTTTTAGTCGATGCCCTAGTGACCGAGGGTTTTATACATGTAGTATAAAATAGGAAAAGTAAGTTTATTTTGTTAGTGTTTGACGAATTTAATTAGGTCGATCGTACACCACAAACTTTAGATAAAATAGGAATATTTAATATCTGGATATCCAGCATACGTATAATTCATATCCCTACACATGATTAAACAAAGATGAGTCTTTAAACTAATTTGTATGAATATTTATAAAAATAACCAGATTTGTAAAGGGAGAAAACTACCATAATGCAAGGGTTGTCTCCCTTCTTAAACGAAATACCATATTTTGTATTATGCTTATTAATTAATACAGGGTTGTTGAAATTAAAACGTGAAACATATAACTGTCTTGTAGCTGGTACAAGATATATCATTACAATCATCTTAAAGGTAACAACAACAACAAAAAAACAATAAAAAATAAATGAAGTGAAAGAATACGAGTATATTTGATGAAAATTAAGTGCTTTATGCAGAACTTATTTTAGTCCATTTGGTAAATGACCGACAAAAACAAAAGCGTATTGCATTTATAATTGACTTTAGACCCTGTTTAAAACAAATTTAACATTAGTTAGTTCGTAATTATGCATTGCTTCTCATTAGCAATACATGTGCATGATCTCTTGATTCTAGAAAATGATGAACTGTACGAGATGAAAAAATACTTGTATAATTTTCGTTGACCCATGTCTTAATATTTATAGTAACGTCTCAATGAAAATAAAGCACATGGCCTGATTTTAGTTACAGTGTCTTTGACTATCATTTTCTAAGTCTTTACCCCGTCATTTATATTGTTTTCCTTAGTTTCATGATGGTACAGTACTTTAAACATCTCAATGAAAACAAAGAAAATGACAGTAAAAAGAGTATCTGATTTACCCGACAGTCTCTTTGACTATGATTTTATTGAAATAAATATTATCATATTATAGAATGGAGCAATTCCCGCTGTAAAATATGGCGCAAATATTTTCTTTATCTATTTCCTCTTTACATTATAGAACAATACTACAGAAACATTCACATTTAAATGAGGTCGAGTGACAAAATCAGATTCCATTGTGATCTCTTTGAGTATCAATAATATCTATATGTAAAGGTTAATCATTTGTTTTGATAACTCAAATGGACGAGAAATAAAAGGGGCCTGCTACACAGTCGATGTTAAAATAATATTAATCTAAGGGCGTAATGTTCGAATATTTGACTAAAATAAGACTTAAATGCATCATTTTCTCTGTGTTATAATGTATGGAATGACTATGGGATCTGTTACTATTGCGCTTAATATATTTTTCTTGAGTACTTTTGCACGCCCAGTACAAACTGCTGGCGGAAAAGGCTTGCATTACGGTGTTATAGCTAATATCATCCCGGACGGATCAGCCAACAAATCAAAGATAACAACACGCGGAACCCTATCCTGCGCACAAGCATGTTTCACAAAATCTATGGAAGGGTCATGTACAATAGCTTCATACAACAAAAACACAAAGGAATGCACGTTGTCCACATCGACAGTACGTGATTTGATGCATAATGAAGATTATGATGAGGTGACACTATTTCCTCAGTCAGGTAAGTTTATGTCTTACTATGGTTGTTAACAAGGAGTTTGACACGTGATCACGTGCATTGTTATCAGAATACATGCACGTCATTTATGTGAATTTGTTTCGGCTAATCAGTTTTAACTCATAAAAATCTACATAGTAAGTAGAATTTGTTTTTGAAACGACCATGATAAATAAAGTTTACAGATATATAATAGAATGGTTGTTGTTCCAGGATGTGATGTCAAAGACCTTCCTACAGTAGATAATGGAGTATACGAAAAGACCCCGTTCATGCCGGGATTCTATTCTATCAGATGTGCTGAAGGTTATGACATTTCTCTAGCAAGCAAACTCAATTCTTTTATTTGTGACGTCACAAAAACGTGGATTTACAACAACGTGACGTGTATTCCTGAAGGTAAGATTGTTCGTTATTAACAAATCAAGTCAATCCTATTGGGGTACATTAAACCGCATAATTTTGGACCAACCAATGTCTCGGTTGTATGAGAACCACTCAATTTTAATAAGCTTTATAAATACTTTGTAATAACTTTTTCTATGTAGATCTATGAAATATTGTACCACATTTTATCAGATACTGCATCATATTAAGTGTTTAAGCACGAAATTAAAGAAAGCCTTTAAAGAAAATATCTCTACATTAAATTTTCAATTACAATTGATTTTTTTAAATTTATTTATACATATACATTTCCCTTATTCATTTGATGACTTTTCTATTTAATATTGTACAGCGGATCTGATAGGGGCAGTACACAATGTTGTATATAATGGAGTTGTATATAGTGAAGTTGTATATAGTGGAGTTGTATATATACATGTACATGAAATTGAGTCTATGTGATTCCCTCACATCGATATGACTCTTATGTATTTTAATCCAAGTTAAACAAATTTCAAATGTTATGTATGTATCTATACAATACAATAACAAGCAACTTTTGAAACTAGTTAACTTGATTGGTTTTCTTTTCTTGTTTGTGTAACTACAGCCGAATTGAAATTCACTGAAGGCCGCTCTTTCGTTGCCACGTTCATGGGAAACTATGAAATACCAAACAAAACGTTCCACTTGTACATCGTTACCTCCGATTATGATGTCAACTCAACGTTTCAATATTCAACCGTTACAGTAAACATACCCAACACATCATTCCAAAAAACTTACACAATAGCAAAATATCTGGAGATAGAGTTATCTAATGTTAACATCTCAGACGCAATTTACATTTCGACGACGGATCCAGTAACTGTGTTTACAATGAACAAGAATCAGTACTCGACAGGCGGCATGCTTGTGTTTCCACTTATATCGCTGGGAAAAACATACGTTATAGCAACTACTCCTTATGACGACCTTGAAAGCAGTCTCGTAATCATTCCGATTGATATAGAAGCGAAATTTACGTTAAGTTTCCCAGACAACACAACTGAAAATGTTTACATAACCTATGGAAAATCATACGAACTAAAAAGAAGCGGACTATCGGGTACCTATATAGAATCAGACGAACCCATCGCTGTGTTTGCTGGAGAAAAATGTGCTAACCTACCCGACGCAGGAAACTACTCGTGTGATCATATTATTGAACAAATGCCACCGCTAGATGCGCTCGACCATGAATATATCATAGCCCCTACCAAGCCTCGTTCTTACTTTGGTTTACTGGTTGTAGCAACATCACAGGACACAACTCATGTTTCTATAAATAGCGAAACTGACACGCCAATATATACGTCATATCTGAAGCGTCATGATACATTCTACCAAACTTTTGATAACGCACAGCATCTTAGTGTGAAAGCAACAGAGCCGGTGCTTGTTGTTCAATATGGCGTCAGTATTTCTGTAGACAATATGAGTCAAGGCGATGCTTCTATGTTCGTTGTCCCTGGTATCAACCATTTCACAAGTAAATACAGATTCGTGGTTCCCGATGGATATAACACAAATAAGGTTATTTTAATCTACAACATAACAAACGGAAACGATCCAAGAGCCGGGTTAAAACTTAACGGAAATGCTACGTACTTAGCGGAAATGACGTCAATTAAATTAAACGCGTTGGAGGATTATGGGGTATGTTATCTAGATATCGAGGCTGGTGTGCACGAGTTAGAGAATACAGAGACGTTTGGAGCAGTTTTATACGGACAGGGTAGATATATCGAGTACGCTTGGAACCTGGGCATGTACATGTGGAAATAAATAGATGACGAATACAGTACTATCAAACCATTTAATTCTCCTTAACCACATCCCTTACCCTTAACCGAGTTCAAAGTAAACAGTTTAACAAGATCAGCACGAAGACCTAGATTAAAAGCATTCATTTCTCACTGATTATAAATTACAAGTGCATAGCATTGAGGTTAAATCTGGAAAATAATAAGAACAATGTAGATCTTTTTTGATACCTTCTAAATCAATGACATAATTAAGAGCTATCTATCATTTGACATAAGGCTAAAAATAACATTGTTTGTTTCCCCTCCCATTACAACACTGGCTGTGAAAAAAGTTCTTGACTAGGCATTTATAGTAAACACGGAATCAGCTACAGCATGTCAATGATAACTGCTTCTTTATATTTGTCTCATATGTTTAAATTGTAAATAAACAAACTCTGAATGCATATTAATTAAACCTTGTGTTAAACTTTGAACGGATGCTAAGCAATATTCCTATTCTTTCTGATATAAATAATCAGGTACGTTAATATACGTACCTGAAATAATTAAAAAAAAAACAAAAACAAAAAACATTAAACACGTTTTCACAAACCTATTTTACCCAAACTGCCACGGGTCGTTGGAGGGGAAACAATGGTACTTTTAAGATTGAAAGTATTTTACAAATAATCGACAGCAACCACGAGCGTATATCACGAGATAAGCAAGCTCTTAATCACCGATATCGCCGATCGGACAAAGATAACCAAATATGAATCACCGGCCATATCTGACGGAAAGTGTTTAACCACTGATGACTACCTATCAAACACCGATTAATCAACATTACGCCCGATTGAGCTCCGATTTACAAACGATAAAAAACAATAGTATTTTGTATCACCACTCCAACCCCGTTTGAGTTTGTTTTCTGTCACCGATGGCCGTTTACACAGAAAACTAAAAATAAAATCATGCATGACAACCGATCATAACAGCGAACAAATTTAAAATTAAATGACCGATTGGGGACCGACCGTCTGTGTAACTGGCCCTTAAAAATAATAATAATAATAATAATAATAATAATAATAATAATAAACTCTTTTATCAGTCCGCCAAGTCCTTCCGACAGACGGCAATTATAATATAATATTATTTTGGCAATTATGCATATAATGGTCTCATTGGTCTCTGGTGCACCAAAATCTTTAAGTCATTTTTGGCTGTTAATAATCTTAAAGGACATGAATGTTGGCATGTCCAGGGTTCATATTCTCAGTGCCTGAAAGGGCGGATGGACCATCATAATGCATAGAAACCAATTCGGAAACGAACAAGATGATCATCGAACAAGACGAAAAAGGTAAGGGGCATTTACAGAAACAGTGAGTGCGGCGAGTACAAAAACTATCTGGAAAGTTGATGATCCCTCGATTGCAACGAAATTCATATATCATATGGATTCATGTACAATTAGTTGATATTTAAATCACGATTTTAATAATACTAAATTACGTTACATGTATTTATGGTGGCCTTATGTACAAGTAAGACTATCTATTTGTTATTATACTGCATTTTATGCTCTGTTTCAATTTTAATATCTGCCGTAATGCTCATTTTAAACAGGATACAATTGTAAACTATTAGACGTTTTATGTTTGTTCTTAATGGGTATATTCTAGAATGATCTCTATCTCAAAATAGATAAGATTTTCATAATGATATTCCTCTTATGTAAGGTTGTTCATAGTACATGGATGCCAACACATTCCACTATTTTGTCAGTCTACTGAAGTACAGAAGGACAGTATGACATGCGGACACTAAAGGATATTCTACATGACTCCCTTTACCGATAAATGGTTGGGGCATAAAATAGTATGTGACTAGGTGAAAGAGTTATGCAAGAAAGAAATTGAAAATTGCAAATCTTTTACTAAGTCAAGGGCAATAACTCTAAAATACTGAATAAATCTACAAGCAAACCCCCAGGTGCATACCTACGCATGCTGACCAACATGCCTAGTCCAGATCAAATATTTTTGAACTACATGTGACATTTTAATTGAAAATTCATACTTAATCAAGGGCAATCTGTAAGAACTTAATTAATCCACGTGCAAAACCCCAGATGCACAACTTCACATGCTGATTATCATCATTTCTGTAAAGCTTGTAAATTCTTGATCAAGAATTTTAGAGGTACACATGACACAACATTTGGAATGTTTTTTTCTAAGTCAAGGGCAATTACTCTACAAATTCTGATAAATATACAAGCAAAACTTAAGGTGTACAACAAAATTTGCCGACCAACATTTCTAAAAAGTGTCATTAATACTCTAGGTCAAAAACTTTTTGAGCTAAGTGCAACACAGGTTGAAATTTTGCAAATTTTTACCAAGACAATGACAGTAACTCTAACAAAACTGAATAAATCCACATGCAAAACTCTAGGTGCACACCTAAAAATGCTGATCAACATTCCTGTAAAATGTGTGGACTCTAGCTTAAGCACTTATAGAGCTACATGTGACTCAACATAGGAACGCTCAAACACACGCACGAACAAGGGCAAGTCTAAATTCCCCCACCTTCCCTAGAGTTGGTTCCCTAGTTCATATAAACTAGTATATACATCAACAAGAATGATAACACCTATACAACAGGCAATGACTTATTAAATATAAGACTTTTCAATTACAATAAGATACAAAGAAAAGATTTATAGTTGTTTGTTCTTAGCTTTATTTCAAAGTTAATTTTACAAACATTTAACATATTTTTACAGATATAAGGTGGTATTACAACTGACAATCTCTTTACTTAGCTTTCCTTACATGAAAAAAATTCGGAATTCCTGATGGAATTCTTACTCGCAGCAGTGACTGAATGACGAGTCCGAGGTTTTAAAGAAATTCACCAAGCTCAAACTCAGATCTCAGGTATTTGATTGGTTAGAGACTTCCACAGAATGTACACTAACTGATGAAAATCCTGAGACGCGAGACAAGACTCAGAAATATAGTTTTATAACCTCACTGCATGAAGTCCTCAATCTTTAATAAATGACACTAGTGGATTGAGTCTTATACAGTTAAAAGTTAAACTAACAGAATACAAATACTGGCTTAATTTATACCTGATATTATTTAAGAGATCAACTGGTAAACATCAAAAACCAACACTTTGTAAAAAAACATTTTAGAACATGAAAGAACAAAAATTGAACACAATATTGCTTTCATTTAACAGCAGTAGCATGCTTTTGGCAGTAATTATGAAAATTGATATAAATATATGATGCAATAAAGTAAAAAGCACAACCCAAAACTAAACATAACCCCCCCCTCCCGTTAAAACAAAGAAACTAAAAACACGGCATTATACATGTCATTTCCTAATGACTTCAATGCAAGTATAAATTGGAAAAATATAATGACCAATAAAAGAAAATTTCAACAATTAAATGATATTTCTTATATCAATTAATGTAAATTAGAAAATATAATTATCAATATAATTATTAATACAAAGAATTCTAGGTATTTCTCATACCACTATACATAATAACTGATAGGAAAATTCAAACAACTATATCTTGCTATATCTTATATTCTTATATCACTACCTCAAATTGTCAATTGTGTTCTTTAACAACAGAACTAAAATGTTAACTGACAAATGAATGCTGTAAAAAATAGATTACTTTATTAAAAGAACTTGTATCATACAATGTAACTTGAACAATCTGAGTCTTGGAATATAACTTAGTCCGTACCATTGATACTTCTGTACATATGGTTACAAATGAATTCAATCTTTCAAAAAAGCACACACAAAAAACGACGACAATGATTTAACACTTTCACTATGTATAGGCTATGACAAAGTTTATGATCACAACCTAGCTACAATACACTACCAGCACAATCTGTTTGCCTACAAGATAAGTATAGCTGTCTTTGGTGTATAAACAATGCATCAGACTGATTCAAACTTTTTTTATAGAACTGTTATTCATATTTCTATTAGTAGGTAATCAAAATATTATATTTTAAATACTGACAATTGTTAGTTTACTTTAAAATAAAATATAGTTTTGTACAGTGAAAATATATTAAATGCACATTTCTTGTAAAATATAAACTTTCACTGGTACAGTATTTATAAATTAATTCTCTGACAATAAAATATATAAACTACTGTCTACACATGGTCTAGATTAGGTTGCTAGTCACAGGTACATGCATGTGTATCAATCATTTGTTGTTGTTTTTTGTGTGTTATTTTTTTTAATTAGATAAAAAAAAAATGATTTACATCAAAACCCTGCATATCTTGGATACTTTATGCCTTTTGGAGCTGAGACAACTATGGGAAATATGTCATACATTGTATATGCCTAGTCAAAATAAAACTGAAAGACACAGAGTAAAGAAAAATAATTGCACACAAAAAAACCCACTTTCAACTGAGGTAGACCCCTATAAGGTTTTTGGACTAGCAAGGGAAACAACCTATGGTGTGAGTGGAGTATCAGTGAGTCGTAGTTCTTGAATAAGCTGTTGTTTCTCTCTCAATAATTTCATGATATCTGTACAATAACTGGTCTCATCCTCTAATACAATCAGCTGTCGTAACTCCTACAATATATAAAATAACATGATAAAGAAATTAATAAACATACTTTTAGAATCATTGACATCAGCATGATGAGGACAACATTTAACTTTGTTCTCGGACATCTTTTAACACATTTGAAATTTTGGTATATACAAGTACATGTATTAATATAACAAGAGGGCCATGATGGCCCTGAGGTCGCTCACCTGTATATAGCCCCCCCCCCCCACCAATAAGAGGATGTTTCATGCTAAACATCTAAGCTCTAGCTCATTGGGCTTTTTAAAAGAAATTTTTTTTAAAGTTTTTACTATAAACATACAGTTAAAAACAATGACACCCCTGGGGCCGGGCCAGTTTTGACCCCAGGGCTTTTATTTGAACAAACTTTGTAGACACTTACTAGAAGATGTTTCATGCTTAATATCTAAACTCTAGCTATTTTGGTTTTTTCAAAGAAGATTTCTTTAAGTTTTGCTATACACATATAAGGAAAATCAATGACCCCGGGGCGGGGCCAATTTTGACCCCAGGACTTTTATTTGAACAAACTTGCTAGACACCTATTAGAACATGTTTGATGCTTAATATCTTAGCTCTAGCTCTTTGAGTTCTTTGAAAGAAGATTTTTTAAGTTGTTACTATATGCATATAGGGAAAATCAATGACCCCCTGGGGCGGGGCCAATTTTGACCCCAGGGCTTTTATTTGAACAAACTTTGTAGACACCCTTAAGAAGATGTTTCATGCTAAACATCTAAGCTCTAGCTCATTGGGCTTTTTAAAAGAAGATTCTTTTAAGTTTTTACTATACACATATAGTTAAAAACAATGACACCCCTGGGGCGGGGCCAGTTTTGACCCCAGGGCTTTTATTTGAACAAACTTTGTAGACACTTACTAGAAGATGTTTCATGCTTAATATCTAAACTCTAGCTATTTGGGTTTTTTCAAAGTAGATTTTAAGTTTTTGGTATACACATATAAGGAAAATCAATGACCCCCAGGGCGGGGCCAATTTTGACCCCAGGTCTTTTATTTGAACAAACTTTGTAGACACTCACTATTTCATGCTTAATATCTAAACTCTAGCTATTTGGGTTTTTTCAAAGAAGATTTTTTAAGTTTTTGCTATACACATATAAGGAAAATCAATGACCCCCGGGGCGGGCCAATTTTGACCCCAGGGCTTTTATTTGAACAAACTTGGTAGACACCTATTAGAACATGTTTGATGCTAAATATCTTAGCTCTAGCTCTTTGAGTTCTTTAAAAGAAGATTTTTTAAGATTTTACTATAGGCATATAGGAAAATTAATGACCCCCTGGGGCGGGGCCAATTTTGACCCCAGGGCTTTTATTTGAACAAACTTGCTAGACACTCATTAGAACATGTTTCATGCTAAATATTTTAGCTCTAGCTCTTTGGGATCTTTAAAAGAAGATTTTTTAAGTTGTTACTATATGCATATAGGGAAAATCAATGACCCCCAGGGGCGGGGCCAATTTTGACCCCAGGGCTTTTATTTGAACAAACTTGGTAGACACTCACTAGAAGATGTTTCATGCCAAATATCTAAGCTCTAGCTCTTAGGGTTTTTTAAAAGAAGGTTTTTAAAGTTTTTTCTTTCGGTTGCCATGGCAACCAGAGTTCTGCATGGAATTAAATTCTTTGAACAATTTTTAAAGGTGACCACCAAAGGACCATTCCTGTGAAGTTTGGATGAAATAGGCCTTGTGGTTTATGAGGAGATGTCATTTAAAGTAAAAGTTTACGGACGACGGACGGACGCCGGACGAAAAGCGATCACAAAAGCTCACCCTGTCACTTTGTGACAGGTGAGCTAATAAAAAAAAGCATTACCTTCACCAGTTATATATATAAAACAGTAAAATCTTATTGTTCAAATAGCTTTTTGTTTAAAAAATGTTTTCGGTTTCAGACCTTGTTTCGCAACTGAGGTTGAATAGATATGTTTAAACCAAATGTTTACCTGTCGAGATATTTTACAAGTATCCGATCCAAATCTATAATAGCATGCTCCATCTATCATAGTGTATATAGATCCTTTACTACCCCGCACATTTATCTCTGAAAATGACAGAAAATATTATCAAATTCCTGAAAGTTATGCTTAACAAAATTATTAAGTTTATCTTATATAAACGGATTGCGAGTATACTCCTTGCAGAGTGATGCAATTACTTGAGATGATGATGATGAAACCCTTTCCTCTCACAAGAACTCGCTTCTTATATCTGTAATATAAACATAACAATGTTTTAAGATTATTTAACATTTTACTGTACAATACCAGAATATATTTGGACAGGGTATTTAGCTGGAGAAACCATATTGGATGACTTGCCAGGCAAGTTTAATTAGATTTTTAAAGCTGTGTACAATTCCAGATATATTCCAGTATTTATTGTTTAATGTTTGATAACCTGTTTATTCTCTATCCAAATTATATTGAGCAAATACGACTAAATATTTTTAAAGTCTGACACTGCAAGACACTTTTTGCTAGCAATACTTCTAGTATAATTCACTCTGAAACTTTTGTCAATAACAGCTTTTATCATTGACGATGTAACAGGAAAAGACAAAACGCACATAACTGTCCAATATAGGACGATGCAACATTCAATATAGAGATATATTCGATGGTCACATGAAAACATTTAAAAGCAATGACTAGATGTTAATAATTTATATAGAACAATTCTTTGTATTACACACATGTAAGATAACATCCCTGTGACATCATTGTCATCTCTACATTTAAGAAGAAAAGCATAAAAAGGGAGCATAAAATGTCTTAACAGGTTTATTTTCATTAATTGCAAAGTTCAGACATGTAATAAATAGAATTTTACATTCATAGTTGTCTAACATTTTGTTAAACTTGTCCAAGAAAATATTACAAAACCTGCCAAAGGTTTGTGCTATAATAGTTTCATTAACTGGTTTAATAAAAACATTGTAATATTATGGCAACTCATGTGAGTTCCTATATAAATACATGTAAATTTATTCATTTACACCGACTAATGTAATGCAACCAAACTACCATCAGCCTCTGGGAATAGCCAGAATTTTGACATAAAATACAGGTAAATCTGGACAGAAGAAGGTTAATCAAAAAATATTGAGAAATGACTGTATATAATTTTAGTGTACATACCTATCACATAATGGTTTGGAACGGACTGTCCGGTGTTGCTATCAATGACCGGAACATCTTTAATACTGAACTGTGAGTGTAGTAGAGCCGGAGAGATCTTACTAAACATGTGCTGGTCTACACCGAGTCTGAACCGGTCCTTCTCGTCCCTCGTTAACTCAAGACCAAACACCTCGCTATTTTCATCTACGCCAAAGTAAATAGTACCACCATGACCTAAAGGTCAAATTAGAAGATTTAGCTAATTAAAATCATGGTAAAATTATTCATATTCATATTTTATTTCATTTGTTATTAAAATTAAAACAGACTTCAAAATTAAGGAGTGCATATCTTTTGTGGTTCATGGAACTAGACCAATAATCTTTAAAAGGTATAAAGCAATACCTTATGAAAGGTTGTTAAAGAATCTATAAAATGTGAAAAACTTTTGCTTTCGTATTTTAATAGTGGATTCTCGAAAGAGTTGTAACACAACATCTGTGTTATCTTACACACATGAATATTGTCAGTGATTTTTTTCCCCCCAATCTTAAAAATAACCTGTGGCTACCTGAAGGGGAAAATATATAGCGTGATGAATCAGAAAAGGGGAAATCTGAAAACAAATTCCAACAAATGAGAATGGAATTTACCCACACATTTGATAAAATTTTCAATTTCAATTCAATTAAACATGCATGGTACATAGCAAAGGCTATATATAGGGACAGCTGTCTGATGTAAGTCAGACGCTTACAAGTCATGGTACTGGTGAAAAAGTGCACAGGGCACAGGGCATTTAAAGGGAAAATATTAGCATTTTGTGGGGAAAATAGACTTATTTTGGGCTATGGGAAACAGCCTTTATTCGGCTGTAAAATGTAGGGGGAAAAAATCAGATTGTATATAAATGGAATAAAAAGTTCCAAATCAAAATATGCTGCTATTTCAAGAAGTATACAAACTTACATCTTTGCAGTTTGTTTTTTTCAAATTCAAACACTAATTGTGTACACAACAGGCAACAGATACATTTATCACACACCCGTGCCGATTTTGCGACTCCGTAAATATGGTATTGCACAGCCGTGCATATATTTTGATGTGAAATCATTTGCCTTATACAAACACAGTTAAAAGATGCGCTAAATGTTAGCGTTTTACTATAGACGCGTCAATGAAAAATTACTCTTATTTCACTTTAAACGGTCTTTATTTTAGGTATGTGATAAATAGAATATTAAATTTGTGTAAGTTCATTACTGAATTTATTGCACTCGTTGAATAAAATAATATTATGCTCACCAGAGGCTCGCATAATATAATTTTATTTAACTTGTGCAATAAATTCAGTATTGAACTTACACTCATTCAATATCCTCTATATATTAAATGGCATTTTACACTTTAATATCGGATGAAATATAGAAAAATAATTCATTATATCAGTACTAGAGATAACAATGTGTGAAAGAGAATAAACATTTAATAGATTTACATCCCTTGAAAAAAGAAAGCCTTAGTCAAAATTTAAGAAACCCTTACCATATAGTTCATAAGATGTTCAAAATAAAATAAAATACATAACCAAAGGGAACATGTCAAACTCATTCATACATGTAGGGAAAACATGTATTGTAAATAGTTTTAGCTGTTGACTTATGCATGTACTTTTTTGTAAATTACAGATTCACACTTTCGAGTGTCAAAGAAATATGTGGCCTGGTCTTTTCTTGAAAAAAGTCTAACTTGGTGTTGGTATCCAAGATATAATTTCATTGAAATCTTAGTATGATATTGAGCAATTTTAATTCAGACTAACCTACAACAAGAGCTGTCGGTAGGACAGCAACGCTCGACTATTCTGAGTGCTTGATAGTAAAAAAAAAAATGCTTGATACAGTTACCTCCTCCTGTTAACAGGTTGGGGTCATGATGGTGAACAAGTGTGCAAAGATTCAAAGCCATATGTCTATGGACTTTGAAAATATTTGAGGTATAACAGAAACTTTAACATAAATTCTAAGTCAAAAAAGGGGCATAATTCTGTCAAAATGCTTGATAGAGTTACCTCCTCATGTCTACAGGTTGGGGTCATGATGGTGAACAAGTGTGCAAAGTTTCAAAGCCATAAGTCAATGGACTTTGAAAATATTTGAACTATTACAAAAACTTTAACATAAGTGGTTACGCCGACGCAGACGCCGACGCTCGGGTGGCTGCAATAGCTCTACTTATTCTTATCAAATAGTCGAGCTAAAAATAACTGTCAAGGAGGTAAATACATACACTCAATAAAAGAATAAATAAATTTTTTATTTTGGCTGTTTTGTACTTACCTGTATTTAACATGCCACACACATGTTTAGCAAATGATAACACATGTATACCCTTGACATATTTCTGTGGACACAACTCATGTTGTTCATCATCATATATGTTCAACCTTTCACCAAGATAGTAACCCTGTGACCTCTCTATGTTATCTGGTACAGGTGTACTGGAACATCCCTTACCTGAAATAATTGTTTCTAAAGTGTATTATATTTCAATGAAGAAATCCTATCACTAGCTTCTTTACAATATGACATAACCTGTCTATAAGGCAGGCACTTAATGTAAATTATTTGATATGCTGAACATTGTCTCAGATAACTTTTCCACAGTTGCCTTGGAAACCATTTTGTGCCAATTGAGATACAATACCTATAACATTTCAAACTAGAACTATCACTAAATGTGATTAATACCCCCACAAGACTGCTTCGGAAATGAGGATGTTACTAGTTACAGAATACCTTGTAAAAGAATTGAAATATAGAGTTATGGTTGTGGGCAATTAAAGATAGTTGTGGTTCTTATATGTTGCATTTCCTTTCAATGTGGTTGGCCATTGATGAAGTTTAATTGAATTACTCTGTAATAAGTCCAGAAAGACAAAGAAAAGGAACAAAGGACAATAACTCTATAAATACTGAAGATAGAGTTATAGTTCTTGTGCAATGCACTTCCTCTTATTGTGCTTGACCATTGTATGAAGTTGTTTTCAATTCCAACCAGTATGTTTTAAGTTATGCTCCTGACAAGGAAAAGTATCAAAGGGCAGTAACTCTGTATTTTGTCAAAATGGAGTTATGGCTCTTGTGCACTGCACTTCCTTTTAATGTCCTTGACAACTGTGTGAAGTTGTATTGAATTCCAAACAGTAGTTTTCAAGTTATGCTCTGGACAAGGAAAAGTAACAAAGGGCAATAACTCTGTAATTAGTCAAGATGGAGTTATGGTTCTTGTGCACTGCACTTTCTCTCAATGTGCTTGACCATTGTATGAAGTTATATTGAATTCCAACCATTAGTCTTCAAGTTATGGTCCGGACAAAAAAGGCAATGGAAAAGTAACAAAGGGCAATAACTCTGTAATTACTTTAGATAGAGTTATGATTCTTGTGCACTGCACATCCCCTTATTGTGTTTGATAATTGTATGAAGTTGTTTTGAATTCCAACCAGTAGTTTTCAAGTTATGCCCCGCACAAGGAAAAGTAACAAAGGGCAATAACTCTGTAATTAGTCAAGATAGAGTTATGGTTCTTGTGCACTGCACTTCCTCTCAATGTGCTTGACCATTGTATGTAGTTATATTGAATTCCAACCATTAGTCTTCAAGTTATGGTCCGGACAAAAATATCAATGGAAAAGTAACAAAGAGCAATTACTCTGTAATTACTTTAGATAGAGTTATGGTTCTTGTGCACTGCACTTCCACTTATTGTGTTTGACAATTGTATGAAGTTGTTTTGAATTCCAACCAGTTGTTTTCAAGTTATGCCCCGGACAAGGAAAAGTAACAAAGGGCAATAACTCTGTAATTAGTCAAGATAGAGTTATGGTTCTTATGCACTGCACTTCCTCTCAATGTGCTTGACCATTGTATGTAGTTATATTGAATTCAAACTATTAGTCTTCAAGTTATAGTCCGGACAAAAAAAAAGCAATGGAAAAGCAACAAAGGGCAATAACTCTGTAATTACTTAAAATAGAGTTATGGTTCTTGTGCACTGCACTTCCACTAATTGTGTTAGACAATTGTATGAAGTTGTTTTGAATTCCAACCAGTAGTTTTCAAGTTATGCCCCGGACAAGGAAAAGTAACAAAGGGCAATAACTCTGTAATTAGTCAAGATAGAGTTATGGTTCTTGTGCACTGCACTTCCTCTCAATGTGCTTGACCATTGTATCTGGTTATATTGAATTCAAACTATTAGTCTTCAAGTTATGGTCTGGACAAAAAAAAGCAATGGAAAAGTAACAAAGGGCAATAACTCTGTAATTACTTTAGATAGAGTTATGGTTCTTGTGCACTGCACTTCCCCTTATTGTGTTTGACAATTGTATGAAGTTGTTTTGAATTCCAACCAGTAGTTTTCAAGTTATGCCCCGGACAAGGAAAAGTAACAAAGGGCAATAACTCTGTAATTAGTCAAGATAGAGTTATGGTTCTTGTGCACTGCACTTCCTCTCAATGTGCTTGACCATTGTATGTAGTTATATTGAATTCCAACCATTAGGATTCAAGTTATGCTCTGGACAAGGAAAATGCAACGGACGTCTGGACCGACCGACCGACAGACCGACCGACCGACCGCCCGACCGACCAACCGACCACCGGGTGACTCCTATATACCCCCCCAAACTTCGTTTTTGGGGGTATAACTACAAACAAACAAACTCTTTCTCTTCCAGTAAAATGGATCTCAAAACATAATTATAACTTCTTACATAATAATGACCTTGACCCTTGAGCTGGAGACCTAGTTCTTGCCTTTTAAAATACTTTATGCATTCCCCCCATCCCTAAATGAACGACAGGATTGTTCACTATAAGTCTTATTAGAAAGTATTGATAATTGCTACACAGTCTCTTTGTAAATATAAAATAATCATGTTTTGACTTCACACAAAGTAGATATGTTGTATTTAAAACTCAACACACTATAAGTGGTCACAATATGAATATAATTCATAATGTCATTAAAAGAAAAGACAAACTTCACTTGACCTGTAAAATGGAATGAGCTTCCCACACATAGTTTATTCATTCTTTTATTCAAATTAGACATATGAATTTCATAGATTTCATTAAATTTCTGTGATTGAAGTATTTTACTCAAGGATGAGCAAAGTATAATTCAATCATTTTTAATGAAAAATGTCCTTAAAAGTAACGTGTGACTTTTCACTTTTGATGTACCAAACTTGTTTGAATATGCGTCACATAAAGTCCACGTGCCAAACATTTGTGCATAATCATTTAAAATCTTTCAATAAAAGACAGTCACATGTACAGACAAGAAAAGACCATTTATTCCCAATCATTTTAAGACAATAGGCATACAAGTGTGACCTTGACCTTTAAACTAAAGACCTGATTATTGTGTGTGACACATTGTCATCACGTCAAACACATTTATGCCAAGTTATGTCAAAATTCATCCAAGAATGACAAAACTACTGACCGGACACAACCATGTTTGTTTGTTTGATTGGGTTTTACGTTACACCGACACAGTATAGGTCTATGGCGACGCTCCAGCTTTAATGGTGGAGGAAGACCTCAGGTGCCCTTCCATGCATTATTTCAGGCACAACCGTGTATGCACTTTTATAGAAGAAAATACATTATCATGATATTGTACATACAACCACAGAGTTCCAGATAATTTTTTTACACTGGGGGTAATTACCCCCACTTTCAGAATGTGGGGGTATATTTAGATATATCGTAAATCTAAAGGGTACAATTAAATGACTTACTTTTTTGTACAAAAATAATATGATCCTTTGAAAATAGAATATTTTTTAATGAAAATACATTAAAGATATTTATTTTGTATTAATTTAGCAGATATTCAGCGTGAATTCACTTCAATTGAAAGGCCTTTACCATAGTCTTATTTTATTTTATATTGTTTACAACAAAAATTGGTGACAATACATAAACAGTAACGTTACAAATAATCATCAATCAATTGCCGATTTCTGCATGTTTATTGCACCATCATTAGCCCATACATTGCCAGCTTTAAATTTATGACAAGTCAGATATTTCATTCCTACTTCAGTACCAGTTTATGAAATTTGAAGCCAGGGATAACATTTTTGCCGATTTTCAAGTGTTGTGTTGCGATTCACAATTACTGCGAATTCACTTATATTCGTGGGCATGAAATTTTGTGGTTTTATCAAAACCGGCATTTTCGTGGGTTCTTAAATTCGTGGATTTTCGTTTTCTTGTCAAAAAAAATTCAGTTACCTAATGCAAAGTAATCTTAAACTTAATCGCCGAACATTTTTACTTACAACATGTACATCACAGCGGTTGTCAATAAATTTAATCCTTGCCACTGGGCATAACTAATATAGCACAGTTACTGCCGATTATTGACTGCAATTAACACATTTGTGTGACATGATATGCACCTCCATTGAACACACTGCCCCTGTAATTCGCCGATGTAAACATCGCATAATTCATACGACACCTGGCACGTTTTAACCAGCGAGTTTAAAAGTTAACACCCTGAATTGGTCTGACCATATTTTAGGACAGTAACTACACGCAACGTCATAGCGACTGTGTAAATTTACATGCATATAAATTATTCTCGGTAAATAACACGAGCATATGCGGATCTTGTAAAAGTCGGTGGCGTCTTTGTTGTTTACGGAATAGCATTCGCACAAATACAGATTAAAATTCATATAAACTGGATCATTTAAAAACGACAAAAGAAAGTAAAATATATCTGTTTTAGCGATCGTATTTTTATAGTTTTGTGTACTTACGACATTAATATCAAAGACTTTTTTTTAAAAATTAATAAGAGCAAACTGACAATTTTTATTAGCGCTAATTATTGCACTGCCTGGGTTCCCATATTTACTCGATTATGTCAAGTATTCTTGTTAACACAATCAAGTCCTAGTAGACTACAACGATCAAGTATGTATATGCGACATTTGTGACATATAATCGAGTTTTCTTTCAAGTTTCTTAAATATTGCAAACGGATTTAATATGTCACTAACCTGGTTATCTGTCTGTAATTACATCCGTTTCACGAAATATCGGCCGGAAAAGAGCCGACGCGTGTTTGTAATAATATATAGAACAGAGACTGGGTAAGAAGTATTTGTTGGGATAAAAGTTCGTTGGATCTTAAATTCGTGGATTGATCTACCCACGAAAACCACGAAAATTCGTGCCCCACGAATAATAATTATTTTACAGTATGTGCGCCCTTTTCGTTTTAAATACACGATCTAAAATGTCTTCAACAATAGGATTCACAATTGTTTTAGTGTGTAACTGAGTTGCGTTAAAAAATTGTCAATTTTCCTCTGCTTTGGTTTGGAAGCAGCCATGATTTAAATCTTTATTAACAAACGCTTGCAATTATAAATGGAAATCAAGCCACACATTTTACCAAGCGTCTACGCGATAAAGACATTATTTGACTGGTTTACAGAATGAAAAGTAGTTGGAAGTATTTTGGCGGGTATTAAACGGAAAAAGATACACAGTCAACTGTCAAACGGAAATGGAATCAGCTGTTTCAAAAATGAAAGTACACACTTAATACGCTTCGATTTTTCATTCTTTGCGTATTTAATTTATAGCGTTACGCAACAAATTTGAAATATGGTGCGTATTTAGCTGCTTTTGAAGCGTAAAATATGCCGATACGCACGTTATCTGGAACTCTGAACCATGACCTTTACCAACATGCAGTATTATATAATAGATAACATATAATGTACATCCCATGAAAATTGTGTTACAAAATCATAGCTTTAAAAAAGTAACTATATTATATTATCAAATGTATTTCATGTCTTACCATGTATATTTTGACTTTCTGGATCAGAGTCACTGTCAAATTCATCCTAAAAATAGAGAAAGAAACAAAAAATTTACGGATGTGCTAAACAATACTATCAGTAACCAATGTTTTTCATGTTGATAAATCTGACTTACAACTGTAAAATTTATGCCCTAGTTGAGTTAACTCAACAGGTAAAAAGTATTGAACCTTGGATATATGTATGTGTACAGCATATGACCCTATACACAAACATTTCCTTGCTTTTCTTTAAAAAAAAGAGACTATTTTAATCAGTGCCAATGTGTTATGTCATGTAGAGTGATATTTGTAGTGTCCTGGCTGCAGGTCTATTTAACATGTTATAAGTCTGTCTGTATATTTGTGATCTGTTTATCATGCTAGGGTCTAGTAGGTCTATTTTACAAGCTCCGGTCTATAGTCAACAGTCTATTTAATATGCTTGGAGTCTATTTCACAATAGAATGTTTACTTTACAAAGAGGGTCTTTGCACATTGTTGAGCTGTATTTTCATGTTGCTGTCTTTTTTTAATAAGCTTGGGTTGTATTCAATATGCTAGGTCCTATCGTACATCTCGGATTGTACCTAACATTTTGGGGTCTATAGAAAAATATCTGGAGGTTATACATGGACGAATACATTTCCGTATCGTTCAAATTTATACAGGTAAACTTACATTGAACAACTGATCTGGTGAATTCTTATTTTTAGGACAAGTTCTTCTTTGAGCAATTTTGTCATTTCTGAAATGTTAATTGAAAATATGCATCAACAATTCTTTTATCATTTAAAATAAACTTACATCTTAATAGCAGTAGTTTTACTATAATTTATTCTTATTTTACAGTATGGTTGTTTTTACAGACTTTGGACTCATTACACAGTCTTGGGCATTGTGTTTATTAACTTGTAAGCCTGTGGTGGTTAGTTTAAATCATGATCAGAATAGAAATTTTCCTCCTCTGACAGACATGGGCATTATTAATTAAGGGATAGAGAACATACCATGTTTGATAGTGTTCCATTTATTATTTCACAATATGTTGAAAGGGTTTCTTTTGTTCAGCTCTCTTAATTAAAGCCACCATAATATTGAACACAATGGTATGATATAACTGTATGTAATAAACAAATGATACTGGTACTGACTTAGAGTTCTGCAGTTCTGTAGGTTCTGGTACAGATTTTATCTGGTAATTTCCCAGGTATACTCTCAGCAACTTGACACAGAAATAATATAAAGGATCATTTCTCTCCACCTTAATCATCAGTTCATTAATCTTATCAACACCTGCAATAAACATATGATGAGTGTTTGATAATTATTCTTTCCTGGAATAAGTAAAGAATACAATGCCTCTTACAACTGAGATCTTATTAAAGCTGCATCCCTCCAGATGAGCGAAAATAGTTCAATAAAATCAAACTTAAGAAAAATGTACTAAGATTTGAGGAAAAGTAAAATATTCAAGATTTCAGTAATAATTTACATGTTATGTGCGATTAATGACTGATTTTTTTCAGAATTTATAACTTTATTTCTACTGTGTTATCAACACCTGCAATAAACATATGATGTTTTGTTATTGTTTTTTTTAAATCTTTTCTTACCTGAAATACAATGCATTATCTTATACAAACAGAATTAGAAGTAAGAAGTACGAGTGTCATGTTTATCCATTTAAACAGCTGTGGTTGGTTTTTAGTTGAAAACCGGTTAGAAAATACAATAACCGATAACCGAGGTTAGTTTTCGACAAAAGAGTCAACAAAACATTTAGTTGATTTATTACCTTAGTTTCTTATAACAAGATATGACAATTTGTTTGTATTTTAGTTGCAATCAACAGTGTATTTTTTCCTATCTGATCAAGTACAGTAGAACTTCTATGAGTCGAACTTCGATTAGTCGATTTTCTCGATGTGTCGAAGAAAAATGAAAGTCCCGATTCTTCCCCCTATATATTCCTTATAAAAACCTATTCATGAGTCGAGATTTTATGTGTCGAATTTTTCGATGTGTCGAAGTTTTTTCGTGGTCCATATTAAGTAAATCTAGAGTAATTTACCACAAATAAGTCGAAGTTGTTCGATTATTTTGACACCTTCGATCTCGAGACATTTTTCACACCTTATCTGGCTGCGAAGACGATTTCCAATTAACTTGTGTGACAGGTGTTAATTACACAGCCGTGTGTTCAAACAGCCTTTGTTTGCGATAAAATGTGTGATAAAATGCTTTAATCGTTACTATTTTAATTGTCATAGTGGTATTTGAAAGTAAACGGTAAGAACTACTTTCATTTGAAAGCATCCGTGACCCGGTGTCGCGTGAGAATAACACGCGTAATATTTACGGTATGCCTAAAATACGAAAGTGAGATTTTTGACGAAAGTGAGCGAAAGTGAGCGAAAGTGACTTTTAAAATAGTAATTATAACATTTTAATAGACTTTTAAAACAAACTTGCAGTTTGTAGACGTATATTATTAGAAAATAATTATATTTATTAACAGAAATAATCATAATGATGATTTAATCGCTACTAATTTGCATAATTTCTATACACAAGTTCTTATATCTCCCTTTCGCTCACATTGAAAAATACGAAAGTGACTTATAAAATATTAAATATTCTGTTTTAATTGAAATTTTTACTAAAATTATAATTTGTAGATGTATATTATCAGAATTTGATGATACCTATTTTTTAAAATAATCATTATGATAATTTAATCGCTATTTATTTGCATTATTTTTAGACACAAGTTCAGATATCTTCCTTCGCTCAGATTGAAAAAATACGAAAGTGACTTCAAAATATCGAATATAGCGATTAATTTGAATCTATATAATTATAAAAGATTGTAGACGTATAGTTTTGGAATTTGATTGATAATATCTATTTTTAAAAATTATCATTATGATGATTTAATGGCCATGCATTTATTTGCATAATTTCTATACACATACACAAGTTCAGAAATCTTCCTTTCGCTGACATTGAAAAATACTAAAGTGACATATAAAATATTAAATATACTGGTTAAGTTGATTTTTTACTAAAATTTCTCTAAGTAGACGTATACTATCAGAAATTGATAATATTCATTTTCAAAAATAATCATTATATATGATGATTTAATCGCTATTTATTTGCATAATTTCTATACACAACTACATAGATCTTCCTTTCGCTCACATTGAAAAATACGAAAGTGACTTATAAAACATTCAATATACCTTTTATTTTGAATTTATATTAATACAACAGTTTGTAGACACATAGTTTCAGAAATGAATAAAAAAATACTTAAAAATCATTATGAGGTTTTAATATTCATGCATTTTCATTATTTCTATATAGCAATTTCAGAGATCTTACTTTCGCTCACTTTCGTATTTTCAATGTTAAGGAGAGGAAGCGAAGTGATTTTAAAAATATCAAATATAGCGTTTTAATTGCACTTAACCCTTTCACTGTTAATTTCGGCGTATTTGCCATATGGACGGCTTTAGCCGTTTCTATAATAATAACAGTAATAATAATAAATTAATAATAATAATTATAATAATAAAAATAATAATAAATATAAAGAAAATTATACCATCGACAATAATTATTATTATTATACTAATAAAACAATAACCCTCTGGCAGCGAAAGGGTTAAGATTAATAATGCAGTTTGTAGACGTATATTATCAAAACTAGTATCTTTAATCAATATGATTTGATCTTCATTTATTAGCATAATATTTATACACAAGCTCAGAGAATTTGATCTTCCTTTCGCTTACTGTGAGCCTGACGAAAGTGACTTACAGAATATCAAATATAGCGTTGAAATAGAATTTCATGATAATATTGCAGTTTGTAGACGTATGTTATAAGCTATAGTAACTATCATTTTTATAAAACTTAATATGTTAAGATGAAAAATGAAATTTATTATATAAACTATAATTGGCAAAAACATGAATTATACAATTTATGCGTTAGGGCTCCGATTTACAGTTCTCAATTTCTTACATCGTCTTTTTCGGGCAGTTTTTTAATTTTTGATTAACGATGGTGTTACCTAACATTTAATATTCTGTTTATATATTATATTGTAATTATACTGTTTGATTCTAAACTAACAGTAATAGGTCTTGAATGTGTTTCTCATTATTATAATGTCTCTTGAAATTCTTAAATGGAATGGTCTTATGTAGGTTTTATGTGAATAGTTGTATATATGTTTGAAAATGCATGTATACGAATGAGACAAAATAAAGTATGAATATGTTTACATGCAAACACGTGTTGTCATATCATTTTCGCACCCACTTTAATTGATAGTACACACGACGGTGACCGCATGACGCTTTAATCCCACTAAAGTATTATTATAATCCAATCATAGGTATGTAACTGATGACACTTGCCCGGTTGTTTATTGAGTGGACAATTGAATTAACCTTTCTTCTGCACCACCATAGATATCTTGCATGGATTAAAGTGGCAGTTATTATGCTCATCCAGGTGTAGATGAGCAATGTACATGTTAATTTGAAAAATAATTTGGAATTTCCCATCATTATGTTAAATAATATTTCACTATGAAAAAAGGAAATAAGTAATCCACGGAATTTTCTATAGATATCGTACTATATATATATCGGTAAAGTTCAATCTTTTTATAAGTTTGGATTTTTTTTTATATTTTGTGCTAGTCATTTTCATCATCAATTATAGGTCAATCACCATGAAAACATGAATAATAATGAAAATGACTCATTTATTTTTTTATTATAAAAAACATTAATATCGTGAATATTGACATTGACTTTCGTCCGATTAAGTCACTTTCGTATTGTTCAAAGTGGGCAAAAGTAAGATATCAGAACAGGTATACAGCAATTATGAAAATACATGGATATTAAATCATCATAATGATTATTTTTTTTTAATATATCTTATTCATTTCTAAAAACATGCGTGGGAAAGGAAGATCTGTTATCTTGTGTAATGCAAATAAAGGGCGGTTAAATCATCATAATGATTATTTTTAAAAATAAATATAATTGACTTCTGATATTGTACGTCTACAAATTAATTGCAATTTTAGTAATACATTCAATTTAAACAGTATATTTGATATTATGTAAGCCACTTTCGTATTTTTCAATGCGAACAAAAGGAAGATCTCTGTATATATAACTTGTATATATAGATTATGCAAAATAAATGGCGATTTAATCATCATAATGATTATCTTTGAAAGTAAATATTATCATTTTCTGATAATATACTTCCACTTTGTGCAATAATAGTAAAAATAATTTCAATTTAAATGGTATATTTTATATTTTATAAGTCACTTTCGTATTTTTCAATGTAAGCGAAAGGAAGATATAACAATTTGTGTATATAAATTATGCAAATAAAAACCGAATAAATCATCATTATGATTATTTTTCATAATAAATATAAGTAATTTCTAATAATATACGTCTACAAACTGCAATTTTATTGTAAAAGTCTATTAAAACGTTACAATTAATATTTTAAAAGTCACTTTCGCTCACTTTCGCTCACTTTCGTCAAAAATCTCACTTTCGTATTTTAGGCAAACCCTAATATTTACTATAAGCTGGTTTAGTTATCGCCCTTTTGTATTGTTACGCCTTTTGTAACTCTATTGTATACGTAAAATTAGTCGTGAAAAAAGTTATTTAACATTCTATATTTATCATTGTAAAATGTAAAATATCAGAATAATGATGGAAAATATAAAATGGGTTTTGTTATAGATCTTATAATTAGGACTAGTCACGGGTCGAAATTTTGTCATGGAATTGAGAGCAATTCACGAGTCGAAGTCCCGATGTGTCGAAGTTTTTACGCAAGTCCCTTCAACTTCGACTTACCGAAGTTCTACTGTATAGTACAACCCTTTCAGAAAATAGTTACTATATATCGAATATCTATCATAATCATTTTGAGTACAACATAACACGAACAAAATGGCATATTTTGTCATAAAGAAAAAAAGTAAATGTTAAAACTCTATGGATTTTATTAGTATAGTCAATTAAACGGCAACCTAATAGCCGTGTTAAACAGATAGCATTTTTTTCTACCAATGACACTCCTAATTAGAAGAAAGTAGTTAAATAATTACTTTTGCATAAAAACAAAAGGCTACATCTATACGTATGGACTTATTTTCAGTGAAATTTTTTTTATAACTTTACATAAAACATATCAAAGAAAATAGGACAAATCTACAAGACAGGTAAATGTAAAAGAAATTTAACTGTTACCATACATTATGACATATACAACAACATTAGAGCAAAGTTCTTCACAAATCTTGAATAGATAATTAAAATTAATTATTGAAAGTTTGACACATTTTCACACAGAACATCCTTCTTTGTCACATATACATACAGTAAAATTATAAATGATTAAACCAGCAACATACCTTGCTGTTTATAAAACTGTGATCTTGTTTCCAAATTTCTACTAATGAGGTTTGATAGGCACATGACACACCTTGCCAGTAACAACTTCTCATCATTAGTGGCATGTAGAGAATCTACCTCATCTTCTGATCCTCTCTCACAGTAACTTGATATCATGTCTAAAACAAACAATATTTCACTGTAACTTACTATCATGTCTACAACAAATAATATCTCACTGTAACTTGATATCATGTCTACAACAAATAATATCTCACAGTAACTTGATATCATGTCTACAACAAATAATATCTCACTGTCACTTGATATCATGTCTAAAACAAATAATATCTCACTGTAACTTGATATCATGTCTAAAACAAATAATATCTCACTGTAACTTGATATCATGTCTAAAACAAATAATATCTCACTGTAACTTGATATCATGTCTACAACAAATAATATCTCACTGTAACTTGATATCATGTCTACAACAAATAATATCTCACAGTAACTTGATATCATGTCTAAAACAAATAATATCTCACTGTAACCTGATACCATGTCTGAAACAAATAATATCTCACAGTAACTTGATATCATGTCTACAACAAATAATATCTCACAGTAAATTGATACCATGTCTAAAACATATAATATCTCACTGTAACCTGATACCATGTGTAAAACAAATAATATCTCACAGTAATTTGATATCATGTCTACAACAAATAATATCTCACTTTAACTTGATACCATGTCTAAAACAAATAATACCTCACTGTAACTTGATACCATGTCTAAAACAAATAATATCTCACTGTAACCTGATATCATGTCTACAACAAATAATATCTCACTTTAACCTGATACCATGTCTAAAACAAATAATAGCTCACTATAACTTGATAACATGTCTACAAGAAATAATATCTCACTGTAACTTGATATCATATCTACAACAAATAATATCTCACTGTAACTTGATACCATGTCTACAATAAATACATGAAAATATCTCATAATTTACCTCCTATAATCTAACAATAATCTCTTATTATTATTTCTTATAATCATGTAGCCAGTACCTTTAACCTTGTCTTGCAAAATTTGTTAAATTGACTTGTCCAGCTTCTAATCAAGTTCTATTTTTTGGAACAGTTCATTATAAATTATGGGAATATCAAAATGAAAAGGTTAGTCAGCCAACCGTATAGAGTCTGCAATAACTTAAATTCAAATGTTTGGAATTGCAATTATTCTAACACATAGCTACAAATAACTTTCATAAAGTGATATCAGTCACAGTGTGAGTGATATGCTGTGAGTGATATAGATTTTATTTTACAGATGACATGGATGAAGCCCAGTATTCACTGGTCAACATAATAGACGTATTCTACCCTCTAGAGTATTAAAGAATCTGTCAGCAGCTGAGTAAAAATGAACCAATTTAGTGCTATGTAACTATCTATATTTAGACAAGAAATTAACTAATCCTAATAATAAATGCATTTAAAAAAGAAACACTTTTGTTTGAGTTCTTATACTGATTTTTCTGCAGGTAGTGATATGAAAAAGTTTCTACATACTCCAATAAACATTTGTGCCAACAGTGGTTACTGTTGTATAATCTGTGAGCTACTTTCTTCTGCAGACCAGCCTAATGTTTTCAAACTTGACATTTATTTAAGCGACCATCTTGCACTGAATAAAAAAATTTGAAAACAAAAACTAAGACCCAGGCTACACAAATTATCACAACATGTAAACAAAGGTATGGAACGTTCATCGGTATCTATACCTATAAGTATTTCAAGAAATCCAGCTTTGACAATAGTTGTTACCATCCCATAGCATGCTGACAGGTTGAGAAGTATCGTCAACACCTGAGCTGTCACTTTAGGTTTCGGACATTCCAGTAAGACATTCTTGATTATCTGAATCCCATCAAGTTTCTCGAGAAGCTCTCCTGTAAAGAAGGTAAAATAATAAGTCATTTATGCTAAATTAATTTTTTAAAGATGAAGGAATGAAACTGAAGAATGGATGTTTCTGCTGTTGATCTTACTTAACAGAGATAATAAAAAAAACAACTGATTTAACATATTACATGTAAAACATTATTATAATTTAAATTATGATAATGAAAAATATCAATATCTTTATTCTATTATGACCAGTTTACCATACAAAGAGATTTCATTGCATATGGACATAATTACAGTTTAAATAGTAAAACTTAACTCTCGTTATTTTGCATCAGCCTTGTCTTGCTCAGTATTTAATGTTACACAATGTTAACAATAGTACATGCAAGCACACTAAAAAATTGGCTCAAAGAAAGAGTAAGTCAGTGCCAACCTAAAGGAGAGTAATTAGTTTATGTTCCTCTATCAAAATCACACATATATGAGCCGCATCATGACAAAACCAACATAATGGGTTTGCGACCAGCATGGATCCAGACCAGCCTGCGCATCCACGCAGTCCGATCAGGATCCATGCTGTTCGCAATCAGTTTCTCTACTTGTAATAGAGTTGGTAAACGAACAGCATGGATCCTGATCAGACTGCGCAGATGCGCAGGCTGGTCTGGATCCATGCTGGTCGCAAACCCATTATGTTGGTTATGTCATGACGCGGCTCATATGTACAGACAGAATGTATAATATATATAGTTAAACCTCTGCAAAGCACCATACTTTAGGAGACAAAGATTTTGGCTGTTGTAGAGAGAAGTGCTGCTCTTATTGAGGTTAAATATTTTCCGATGTCTTAACCGGGAAAAGTTAAAATTGTCATTGTTAAGAAGTCATTGGTTTACAGAAGGCCATTCTGTGGAGGTTACACTGTATAGTAAGTATTGCTGAAGCCCTTTTTGAGACTTGGAACTCCTTTGTGGTCATAAAAAGTCCAATGATTATTCTCATATAAAAGATAAGCAGATAATGATTCATATTTATTTGGGACTTGTGTGATATATATACCTGCAGATACACTCTGTTTACACAGATTCACTAAGATGGCAGCAGCATTGTGTGACAGACTCTCATCATATGGTGGTGGTGATACACCTGTAATAAATACACCAATCTGTAACTATAGTAACACTTTTTAACAGGTTTCAACTAGTCCATTAGACATGTTAGAAAGGTGAATTTACAGGCTTAGCTACAATACTGCTCTTATAGTATTTCATGGCACTTAAAGTATGATATGTACAGTGATGTCCTTCCTTCACAATGTAGTCTCCTTACATCACATAATACAATTTGAGCCCCGTCACGACAAAACCAACATAATAGGTTTGCGACCAGCATGGATCCAGACCAGCCTGCGCATCCGCGCAGTCTGATCAGGATCCATGCTGTTCGCTTACCAACTCTATTACAAGTAGAGAAACTGATAGCGAACAGCATGGATCCTGATCAGACTGCGCCGATGAGCAGACTGGTCTGGATCCATGCTGGTCGCAAACCCATTATGTTGGTTTTGTCATGACACGGCTCATTTGTGGATTTTTGCCTTGTCTCAACACATTTTCATTTTCTCTCTTATCAAACTAGTACCATTACCAAGGTTCAGGCTGACATATATAAACAACAACAAAAAATTTGCACTAACAAAACACTAACCTACATGTATATTAATGTTTAGGCAGAAAAGTGACTTGCAGAGAACCTGCTGCATAGTATTTTTAAATGCAAATTAGTCAAAATATGATTTGTGGCTATTTGTTTGTTTGGTTACGGTGGACCAACACAGTTTAGGTCATATAGCGCCAAAACAGGAAAGATGATTTTTGCACAACTCAGGTATAACAATCTTCAAAGCCAGACCATTCCTCCAGTTATTCCTCCTCTTGCAATCAAGCAAGGATAAACAGTAGCTGCAATTCTGATGCCTCAACCCTTAAAGGCAACCTCTCAGCCACAAAGGTGTTCCTTTTATGTAACAAACTCTGTCAATGTTTAAGCTTTAACTTGCTGGAAACAGAAACTGATTACCCTAAGATTGCTACCAATATACATTAAGGCTAGCCTTTACATAACTGCAGTCTGAACTAGATCTATACTGTTGGTAAATAAATTTTGATATTGAAATACCCTTCAACATAGAATGGACTGTTCCAAATGTACAACTGGGCAAATCCATTACACAAATGCATCAGGTTCAGGTTAATTCACTTACCATCTACAGAGCAGAGAGATATTTTCCTCTTGACAAACTTTGTATTTAGTTTTTCTGGCAACATAAACACATGTCTATCTAAAACTTTCAACGTGTAACCATAATCAATGGCGAAAACTTCTACACGTCCTCCATCGCAGGATAATACCTGAAACAACAATTAACAAGTTCTACATTATCATTAAACAAGCACTTTTACAAAGAAATCACAATTTGAGACTTTTGTTGATACACCCCTTAAGGGAATTTTTATGATTTATCATATAACATGTACATGTATTTCATTTCATCCACGAAATATATATGTGGTGGTACATGTCAGTCAAATATTTTTCAAATTTATTTAAAAACAAATATGAAATATAAATATGAAAGTAAGCAGTCAAAACTCATTTCTAATTTCGGGACTACTTTCTCAGCTGTTTTTGTTTGTATGCAACAGTCAGTAGCTTTAGTTATTCATTTCAGTTTAATAAATTATGATAATAATTCATGCTTGTGAAAATATATGGAATATCAGGTTTCATGAAAAAAATTTCCACATCAGGCCTCGTTGAATTTTTTTAAAACCTCTAGCCATGCATGACAAATGACCCTCCAAATATACTTGCCCTTCATAAAATATACTTGCCCTTCATAAAATGCACTTGCCCTGAATTTTGACGGACAAAATTTGTAAAAATCAAACACAAATTTACAATTTACCAACTGTATCGGTATAAATGGCTACATTCAATTACATGTTGTTCAATAATGTTTACAATACTTTAATTCTTTTATTAAATAATCTTCAACATAGCCTGAATACTTATTCCATTAAAATTTTAACACACACTGCTCAAATATGGACTTCATGGCTAAATATAAAACATTACCAAATGCATATGTATAAACCATTGTCGAAAACTGCTGTCGTTACGGAATAGATTCATCATACACATTTAGAAAAGTTTTACACTGAGTCATATGGTCTGTTTCAGGTTTTCGGTTGACAGTATTACAATTGAAATTACATCTGCTGTTTGATTTTTTACCAAATAACTTCATTTACATTAAATATTTAGAGAAACATCATTGATCTGAAGAATCTTACTCGCCCAGCCCTGTCAGGCAAGTTTCATCAATTTTTTACTCGCCCAACCCGAACTTTTATTCGGAAATGCGAAAGTGGGCGAGTGGATTTGTCAAGGCCTGCATATTTTACTTTAACTCTTAATTTACTTATTTTGTTAATATATTGGCTCACATTACCTCTTAATGACTTAATGAAATAAGTAACATAATGAGTGTGTAAAATGTGCATTCTAACACTACTGGGGATTTTCGTTTATTAACCTACTGGGGATTTTCTTTATTAACCTACTGGGGATTTTCGTTTATTAACCTACTAGGGATTTTCGTTTATTAACCTACTGGGGATTTTCGTTTATTAACCTACTGGGGATTTTCGTTTATTAACCTACTGGGGATTTTCGTTTATTAACCTACTGGGGATTTTCGTTTATTAACCTACTAGGGATTTTCGTTTATTAACCTACTGGGGATTTTCGTTTATTAACCTACTGGGGATTTTCGTTTATTAACCTACTGGGGATTTTCGTTTATTAACCTACTGGGGATTTTCGTTTATTAACAAAGACATATCCCAGAAGCTTATGTTATTTTACAGCAAAGCAGTGCATGGATTAATATTATCTGTAATATATGTTGCGGCTCAGATTGGAATATCCGTCCCTCAGGACAGATATTCAGATCTGAACCGCAAACATATGTCAGTTACTTTTTTTTGCATATTCCACCATATTCCATCATATTTTTAATTCTTTACCTTAATAAAATGTATAACTATTTTCATGGAAATTACTGTCATTACACCCATGATTATTTTCTTACAACAACCTTTGAAATTATAAATTCATTCAAAAAAGCAAATTTACGTTATCCTAAGCAAGCAGTTTCATTCCAATATATGCCTAAATGACGTCATTATTTTATCATGGTAAATTGATAGAATGCATTATTATGATGCCAATGTATAACACTGACATATACTGTACATCTTAAAATAGAAACTATTGTTATTGTACATGTTAGTGCCATGAAGGGGCAAGCATTTTTTGTACTATCTGAAGGCTAATTTGCTGTTAAAAAATGTTAATAAATATTTAAAATAGATCTTGATGTGTGTTGTAGTATAATATATTGTACAAGTATGATATGTTGTTCAGATGTTTGTTACAAATCACTCTGACCTTTGTCTATGAAGTAAGTACAAGTCCCTTTATACACTACCTATCTTCTATAATTTTACTGATTATTTTACCTGAGCTCTGAGGAAGCAATGACTTCCCATAATCTCCCCATAAACTACAACAGTATCCCCCACTAGAACATTTGATTGTTGAACATGATCTTCTATATCATTTAGCTGTCGCTGTATATCAAACACACTCTGTAAATACATGACTGTATATTTATACATTTATTTCTATAATTAGATGGTGAAGTCTATAAACATAACCTTAAATTACATCTAGAAGCTAAACTTTATATTTATTATTCAAGCTCTAGTAAAGCAATTATATAATTATAAACTGTAGACCTTCTGGTATAATAAGTTGGTCACAAGTCTTTAAGTGAGTGGCGGCATGGACAAGTGGTTAACACATCTGGCTAGTAATCTAATGATCGCTAGCCGCATGGGTTCAATCCCAGTCAGGGACAAGTCATTGTTTCCATAAGCAAGAAACTTTACACTCATTGCTCAGTACTGGTTGGTTCCAAGAACAGATTTCGAAAGTGTCTCTATTAGCTTATAGCTTATTATATACATTCAAACTAAAATAAATTCTATATTAACCAAGCCTTCAAGTAAGTAAGTGGTTCTTGGGTACTTGATTCCCTGCAATAAATGTTACTGTATAATGTGTACATATTTTATGTAGGTTGAACTGGATCCATTCTGGTATCTTAGACCTTTTTGTTTTCAAAGCTAGCAAAAATAGAAATTAAACCAAATTTACTCACTTTTATTGCATTTTCTCCTACTTGCCCCCAGAACATGCATCCATCAAGCACCTGAGTGACAATGATGTTCTCCCAGTCATCTGTATCATTAACAACTTCCCCTGGAAAACTACCTGTAAAATAGTCCCATTTTCTTTATAACTAAGTCTTAATATAAGTAAGTCTTAATTATAGTCTATATACCAGCATTTAAGTTAACATATTCCTATTTCAGCAAACATATTTGATACAAATTTATCTAGCTATCCATCCACTGATCTTTTTCAATTAAGGAGATGTTTAAAGGTTCTTTTACTATTTTCAGCTTTATTTTGACCATAACACATGGGCTAATTGGCACAATACAAGCAAATTGCTCTTATCTGGTCAAGAAAATGCTACATTATTGTACTGTTATGGATAAGACCAGGATAATTTAGAGTAAATCTGACAAAATACTTTCTGAGTATCCTAATATAAATTAATAAACTAACTGCTCATCATCTAGGGTACCTTATATCAGGGTTTTCACATTTTATTTGAAAGACCCTGCTTACATTTTCAAAACTTTTTGGTTAATCTATTTAAATATTTAAATGAAATGAAAAATACAAATTTGGAAAAAGTTACTGTGGCTGTTTTCTAAGTTACATAATGGTCTGTACAAAACAAATGATTAATGCTAGTAGTACATTTTAAATAAGTTGTTTAAACAAGAACTGTCCGCTACACAGCGTGCTCGACTATTCTTAGTGTTTGACAGTAAGAAAAGATGTCATATGCTTCATGCACAACTTTGTATAAAGTAACACTAACTGAACTGTGTACGTTATTTTAAATAATCACAGAGAACAAGTGTCCGAACTTTAAACCCATTCCCTACAGCAGTTTTGTAGATGTCAACAGTCAACTTGCACCAATATGTGATGCAAGCAGAAGTGATAATACAAAAGCTCTCCCTATTTTCAAATAGTAAAGCTAAATAAGAGGGCCATGATGGCCCTGAAATCGCTTACCTGTATATAGGCCCACGGGACAGGGCCAATTTTTACCCAGGGGCTTTTATTTTAACAAACTTGGTAGACACACATTTGAAGATGTTTCATTATAAATATCTAAGTTCTAGCTCTAAGAAGATTTTTTTAATTTTTAATACACATATAGAGAAATTTTACAATCTAGAAATAAGGAAAATCAATTACCCCCCGGGATGGGGCCAATTTTGACCCCAAGGCATTTATTTAAACAAACTTGGTAAACACTGACCAGATGATGTTTCATGCCAAATGTTTAAGCTCTAGCTCTTACGGTTTTCTAAAAGAAGATATTTTAAGTTTTTCTTTCTGTTGCCAGAGCAACCAGAGTTCTGCTTAGAAATAAATTCTTTAAATAATTTTTTTAGTTGACTACCAAAGGAACATTCCTGTGAAGTTTGGGTGAAATTGGCTTAGTGGTTTATGAGGAGATGTCATTTAAAGTAAAAGTTTACGAACGGACGACGGACAGACGCCAGACGAAAAGTAACCATAAAGCTCACCATGTCACTTTATGACAGGTGAGCTAAAAAATACCCTTAAAAGTTAATATTTTTATATCTTACAATGTATATATAAATAACACAATACCTGGCCAGGCTAGTTGTTTATTTATTAGATGTTGACAGATGTCTAGATCTTCTTCACGTTGTGTATCCATTAATCTACACACCTTAATCTTGTCTGGTACTCTGTCAACAACAACAATATATTCATACTGAATTACTATTTATGTCCTTTACCACTATTATTAAGTCACTGTTATAACCAATAAAAATTTACTCTTATAACTGGAATATCATAGACACTTATTTAAAATAGAAAACCTAGTACTTTAATAGCAGGACAATATTTTGTTATAAGTTGGTGTTTATACAATGTAAAACAATTGAAGATGAATCTTAAAAACAGGTATTCCATTTGTTCCTGATGAAACAAGATACAGCTTTAAAATGTAATTTAAGTCATGAAGAGAAGATAACTCTTCTCAACAAAACTTTTCCAAACATGTATAATTATGACTTTCATTCCCAGACATTTCTCATCAACCATGTATAAACACCGATAAACCATTTTTTATAAGTACCCACCTTTTCAGCTTGTGTTGTGTGTGTCTGTGTATATAGTCCAAAGGTTCTGTTGCCATAGAAATTGTCTTGACTTTTCCCAAAAGTTGTTTCCCCTCACATATTTCTGTCAGTTCTCTTTTAGCATTGCTAGGAAACTGATAAAAATTGCTACCACTGTTTAAGTAATCTAGCAACTTAAGAAATACACTTTCTGTAATCAAGCACTGAATAGAACAAACTGGAAGTTTAGAAAACTGACTTAAAATCTCCATGGCAACCGAAATACAAACTGTATCTAAGGGATCATTAACTTTATTTAATCCGGAATCTATCATTGTCAATAAAGCTGGGGTGAGTTCTGTGTTTAAACATTTTACTAGGAGGTTGGTTCTGGTCTCTTTGAGAAAGAGTTTGTTCAAGATGTATAATGATGCTAGTTTTCCGGAGGTACAGATGTATTTTGTATCTACAATGTCTATCAGATAGTTTATTATGCTACAACTCTCCATTATCTTTACTTGACGTTCTTAATCTGAAATGTAAAACAAAGATTGTTAAAATTCCTCTCTCACAGCAACATATTCCTTCATAGATTCTGTTAATAATTAAATCCAGTAAAACTGAAGAAATAACATTGGTCTTAGCGGTGTTTATCGGCTATTTAACACCGGTTTGGAGTTTTGATGCGTAGGAATTGATCACGAAGGCCATATGCCTGAGTGGTTAATTTTTTCGCATCAAAACGACAAAACCAGTGTTAAATAGTCGATATTAAACACCGCTAAGACCGATGTTATTTTGATTCTAACAAGGTAAAATAAGTAGGATCACTAATGCTATTTCTTCAAGTGGAAATGACTTCCAGTGCCGATTTTGTATAACGATGTCCGATTTTGCACCCTTGACTGTTACTAAGATAAAGAAATTATTTAACAAAAGCAATTATAAGAAAAAACGATATTTTATTTCAACAATAAAAACTTACGTCTTACTATCAGTATGGATTGTAATGTGTTTACATCAGTGCCCCAAATATCAGTCTTGTATGTTTGAACTGACGTCTGTGTTTATAAATGAGTTGTTTACTTAGGATGATGTCATTACACTGCTTACAGATTGGCACCGTTTTGTCAAAATATTTGATCAAATATGTGGTGTTAGTGTATACATGAGATATAATTTCTGTATTGTATGAAAAGAAAACTTTATAAGAAATGAAATATAAATAAAAATGCTTTTTTATTGTTGCTTTAAAAGGGTTTGTAAACAATATAATCGAGGGAGAAAACATATCAACCGCATATACAAGTAGTCTCTAACCAGTGTTTATTGGCAGTTTAACACAGTTTTTTTCTTCTTTGTTTATAGTGCAAAATCATGAGGAGTGTTAGAATTAAAGATATATATATATATACGAGGATTGATCAAAAAGTTCTCTGCCCGGTGTACTTCTGGTAGAGGACCCAACTACATGCAATGGTTTTACTTTCAATATAATCGCCCTCTACATAAATGCACTTTGCCAACCTGTGCTCCAACTTGTTTAACCCTTCAAAATAGAGCTCACAATTTTTGTCCTCAAAGAACTGACACCTTCATTGCTTCAAAAACGTCTACCACAGACCTTGGTTTTCAGTTTCCGAAACAGGTAAAACTCAGAGGGGGCCCAAGTCCAGAGAATTATAATGGGGGATGGGGAAGAATTTCAAAGCCACCGTCAGTTGCAGCAGCCATTGCAACTTGGGATGTTAGTCCTTTATTGAAAGACATCGCATTTTCTTTTTTTTACAGTTTGACGTTTATCGGAAAATTTGACCCATGTAAATAATAGCTTCAAATCCGCGGTTAAGTGTAAATATTTGGATTTAAGTACTTAGGATGTGTGAGATGGCACATAATTTTTGTCGTGCAGGAACTGAACGCCTTGAGCCAGTTTGCCCCTCCTTTCACTGGCGATTTCTTGATGCAGATGACTAAATTCATCAGCATAGTATGTATAGTTTATGGTACAGCCTTGCTCAAGATAGTCAATGATGGTTTTCCCCAAACAAGAGGGCCAAGATGGCCCTAAATTGCTTACCTGACCCATCAAACTCCTCCGAGCAATGACCTTGTCACGCATCCTGACCAAGTTTGATGAGAATTGAGTCAAAAATGTGACCACTAGAGTGTTAACAAGGTTTTTCCATATTAGGGTGGTGTGACCTAGTTTTTGACCCCAGGTAACCCATATTCCAACTTGACCTTGAAATCATCAAAACAACCTTTCAGACCAATTGCACACATGACACGTTTGAAAGACATTTGATATGATGTAAGAGTGTCCTTTCTTATTAATGCTTTCCCTACGTTAAGGGCCAAAGTTGTATCAATGGTTTGTGGGATCATTCCGCAAATATGATAATAAAGTTTGTCATTATTATCATCATTTCGTAGCAAAGTTTTGTTTGTTTGTTTCATTTTACGCCTTTTCCCAACAGTATTTCAGTCATATAGGCAGGTAGTTTCCTAACCATCGTTCCTGGAGAGTTACACCAGTGCTAGACTACCTTCCCCTGTGCAAACTACCAAAGCATCTCCTGGGAATCAAACCCACGCCAGAGAGGTAACTGGATTAGAAGTCATTGACTCTAACCCCTCGACCACGGAGGTGTAAAGTAAAATTGGCTAACCAACTATGTTTAAACACACAAATGCATTTGCGGTCATTTTCAATGTCTCTCTGCACTTTTGATTTAAGCTTTTAAGATTCTATTCAGACCTAACCAAAAATTTGTCCATATTGTATCAAAACAATTTACAAATTCACAACTTGCAACAACAAAATATGTGACGCTATGCACTATCAACCTAGGCACCAAGCAGTTGCCCAGATACAACCACTCTCTAAGCTTATTTTCAAAAACAAGCAACAGGCCTCATACTGGGTGAAATAGCATTCTATAATATCAATTTATTTGTGCTGTTGGAGATAAATACAAATAAATTGTACAATTAAATTTATGTACATTGTAAACACGGATTTAACAACATTGGGGAAAAATTTAACATTCACGGTCAAGTACAGTTAGAATTTCAGAGCACTTTAACAATCTGTTCGCAGCAAAAACCATGTTTTGAAATCCTAAACCAAAACCCTCTAAACGTAACCCTTACCCAAAACACAAGCCTTATCCCCTAACCCTAGAGCTTTTTGCCGGCGGACAAGTAGATTTTCACGTAGCAGTTGTCACAGCCAAGTGTATTTCATAGTCAGAAAAAATAGCGAAATGCTATGCTTAAGAATCAGTTCCCACAGCTATTTTATGGAAGTGGCTAGCCGTACGGGCCCGTACGGCTAGCCAAAAGTTCTAGCCGTACGTGAGTCACGTACGACTAGCCAGGACACACTGTATTGTCTAGCTGTACGGCACTTTTCAAATTTATATAGAAGTCAAAATTATACATATATGTTTTTTCATGACTTTAAGCGAGGATTTTAACCATGAAATAGTAATTGTCTTCGTATATTTACTTTAAATAGAGATTAATCGCCTTGTTGGCTACAGTAAAAGAAGTACGAATATCGATCTTTATCATTTCAAGACATCGAGAAAAAATAGCGTTAGGTCGCAGTTAAATAACATCAATTGAAATAGTTTACAAAATTTTGATAATAATCCTTTTTTGTTTCATAAAGTTTAATTTTCGACACCTTTAAAATGAAAAAAAAAATCAATGTTAGGCTCTGATATTTGCGTCAATTACCGACGGTATAGAAGTTTGTCCATCATTAAGGAAAGTTTGCATGTTCCGTGAAACGCATTTTAAAATTCTATTGTCAGTCCCTGGGTAGGCTTTATTTAAGGCTTATTAATTGTTTGTGCTTTTATGTTCGATATTTATCTACTGTATTTGAAAATTATACAATTATTTTTGTTTTTCACCGTTTTTTTTTCAATGTTCTATGTATTTATTTATTTATTTCACTCCGATCATTATTTATTCGATCCATGTGCTTAATTAACAAAAAAACATCTTTCAGTCAAATAAAACAACAAATCATAATCATGAGGCACAAAATAACATATGCATGGTCGACTTCTATATAATTTTGAAAAGTGCCGTACGGCTAGACAATACAGCGAGTCCTGGCTAGTCGTACGTGACTCACGTACGGCTAGAACTTTTGGCTAGCCGTACGGGCCCGGACGACTAGCCACTTCTCTATTTTTAACACTATGATTTTACCCAATTGGCCGGCAAAAAGCCCCGCGTCAGGCATTATAGTAGTTCCGCGGAGCGTCAATTCCTAGCATAACTTTCAATAATATGAATTCTTTACATTTCTTACTCACAATATTATTAAGTACATTTCAAGTGGGACAAGTAATCATTTATCTTGAGCGAAACGTCGCAGCATTGGGTCGAATCGTTTTGGGACGAATCGTCAGTGGAGCGAATCGGGGTCGCGAATCGTTATCAATTCAAATGCCTTATGGTCACTGAAAAATTTAAAACAATATTCGGAAATAAAAGAAAATATTTCTCACGTTATAATCGTGATAAAAATCAAATTAAAACCTGCGTTAATCTTGTTACATGATACCTTCAAGGCTTCCTATTTTTATCCTGCTATCCGAATACCCGGATACTTTCGGGAACGGAAAGTGGTTAATCGGAACGCTTCGACAATTATCCTACGGTATGACTAAAATACGAAATGGTGTTGTTTTTTTTTTTGTTGTTTGTTTTGTTTGTTTGTTTTTTGTTTGTTTTTTTTTCGCGCAAAGGGAACAACGGATTTCAAACTATTAATTTTCTAATATTCTTAGAATCTTTTCAGGAAATTTTGAGTTTGTTTGAGTAAATGTTTAATGTTCACACTGTTATATGATAATATAAGAAATCATCAAAAAGTATAATATACTAATTGACTATAATTAAGCCTTGTTTTGCTGTAATTTTGGTCATATATCCATTGCGCCGACGAACTTGGACACATTTTTTTACATTTTACATTTTAAGTACATGTATTGACAAAAAATCAAATGTATGAAGAAAAAAAATATGACTAAATTTTTTTAGAGTCATAAATTATGTTTCATATAATTGATTTTTGTCAATACTTATGATGTTCGGGTACAATGTTTTTAAGAGTTTGGGGTTTTGGACATTTACAAATGAATGACTAGCAGGTAAGGAGTGGCCATCGGTTTGGAATAGTCTGTAGATCGAGGGAAATTTTGTGTTACAAGGTGCCATTTTTAACGTACATGTAGTGTTTCGTGTAAAAATAGTTTATTGACTTTTTCTGTTCAAATCTATTTAATTACTGCATCGGACAATATGGTAAGCATTGTTCGAAAGGCCCATTCAATCAATCCTTATAGCCCAGCCTTCAGTACTTAATAATGTTACAGATCTTTTAAAAAAGTTTGAATCGGTAAAATATTTTAGATGTACACGAAGATTCTTATTTTGGGTTTAATATAGATCTGTTTGACCAGAGACATAGATAACAGAGATAAGCAACTTCCTTGCCAGTTTAAATATCGTGTGTGCTTGCTAAACTTCAAACTTGTAGCAAGTAAAACTTATTAACCAGATATAAAAATCAGTGAAATAATACATTTTGAGAAAGTTTATGCATTTGTCTATGCTTTCAGGAAAAAAATTACAGTTCCAATTGAAATGAATGATACATCAATTTTAAAGAGAACTACTTATAAAATTTTGCTACAAAACTATTCATATGATGAAAAAAATGGCTCAGTGGGTATGTTCTGCTATGTTTTTCTAAGTGAAAGGCATTGAAAGTGACCAATATTTTAACATGCAGCCATAGATAAAAGATTTAACTTTCAAAAGGTGTATAATATAAAAGGATCAAATGTACATCCATTAAGTTTTACTTGCTACAAAATGCCTAATTTTTCACTTTTTTATAGGCATGAGTGATATTTCAATGAAGTATATAGAAGCTGCTTATCTCTGTTATCTACATCTCTGGTTTGACTGCTTTGCTATTGGGAGTTTTTTGAAAATTTTCTTCTGATATGTCTACTCAATCGTAAGTGCTTTAAGATGTATTGAATAATTGCCCAACTCAGGTATAGAATGGAGTGATTTCAGTGTCTACTGTGTATATTCTATATACTCTTTGTCTACT